GGGTGGCGGGGGTGGGGGGGCCACGGTGTTTTGTGTTGCACGCTGAGGATCGGTCTACACCCAGAAGTGAAATGGCTCGAGGCGGTTATCCACCGCGTAACGCCGTCAGCTAGCGTAAAAAATACCTCAAAAGTGGCCAGATGGTGCATTTGAACGCAATATTAACGGTATCAGCCCCGACAGACAGCTAGGGCTGCTCTCAGAGGGGGATTTGCACAGGCTGACACGGGCAGTTCTCGATCCCCCCGTTTGGGGAAGCTCGTTACAGGGCGGTTCGCCCTCGAGGGAGGTGAAGGGAGCTCGTCCTCATCTCGTGTCGTGCCACAGGCGCGGGAGGAGACTCACAGGGGATCCCACCCTCGGCATCCACCTGAAGCACCACCGGCCTCAGGCCGCTGGGCGTTCGTTTGGGTCTCCACACGCAGCGTTACCTTCGTGCCGGCGGGCTCGGGACCACCGAACCTCACCGAGGAGGAGGAGGAGGACGCGTAAAGGCGCTGATGGAAATTTCACATATTTAGCACCTTTTGCCAAAGGCAATCCAGGGCTTTCCACGCCGGGATGAATCCTGCACAGCCCTGTGAAGTGGGTGAAGGCTGTCCCGCTTTGCGACGTAACGACCGAAGAAACAAAGCTGCGGGGTGAAGATCCAGAGGCCGAGGAGGGGCTGGGGGGGACGGGGACGTGGGCGCCGGGGCTTCCCCACACCGTGCCCCAGCCCGACCCTCGCTCCCTGCTGCCGGAGGGGGACCCGTTAGAAAGAAACATTGGAGAAGATGGACTGTGTCAGCCTGTCCAAACCAATCCCCGCTTCCGAGACACAAAATCAGTGGGGAAACCCACAGTGATACCTCGAGGAGGTCTGGCTTGTTGGTAACTTCGATCTGGGCCCAGAGACTGAGCCGTGGACTCCCGCCCCGCCCCACCGTAACGTGTGTCTTTTTTAATATCCAGTTTTTTCTCCTGTTTCTACACAAAAGACTCCCACGGCTGGAGGGGACCCGCCCGGCCCCCGGCCTCCCTCCCTGCTGCAGCCACCAGCCCAGCCCGGATCCCTGCAGGGCCCTCCCTCACCCCACGCTCGCCCC